AGGAGAGAAATTCCTCGGTAATTACCAGTCTCATATGCAACCCTTTGCCACCTGCTTTGATTAATTCGGCTGGAATCTGATCAATACCTGGAGATTTATAACTTTTCAACTTCCCAATGGCTAGTTCAACTTCATCTAAGCTAGGTTCTAGCACTAACAGTTCAGCTGTATGTAATTTAATCTGTCTAATATCACCAGTCTCATGAACATCTAAGAGCTGGCTAAAATTTTTTTTCCACCTATTCACAATTTTTATTGGATCTGCAAGCAAATTGCCATATCAAATCTTAAATAGTTCTCTAGAAGAGACCCCCCCCCCCCTTTTAATGCCTGCCATTATTCTAATGATTTTCTTTTAGACATAAAATAATTTTGTTTTGTTTTTTGAATTTTCTCAGAATGTTGTTCCTTATGACATCATGGAATGGATGTAAGGAAAGTAGACTAATTTTAAAGTTTTGAAGTCTTTAATGCCCTTATAGCAAAATATCTGTAAATTAGTTTGGGGATATGTGTTTTCCAATTTAAGTTGTTGTCAATTTGTATGCCAAGAAATTGGTTGTTTTTACTTTTTCAGTTGTTTTATTGTCTAATATGTTCAGATTAGCACAAGTTTTGTTGTTGGTGTTGATCTGAAAGTGATGAATCTCTAGATTTATGGTTATGTATTTCTGTCCAGCATGATGGCTGGTGATCTAGAAGATGGAGAAATTGAAGATGGTGAGATACCTGATGAAGAGATGGCAAGCGGTGGAGAGGCAGTTGTGGACAATGAAGCTGACAGATCATCAGCTCCACCAAACGGTGGACCTAGATTGTTACCTGTACAAGATGACACTACAGTAACTGCAGAGAAACGTCAGGTTCCATCTTCAAAATTGAAACGATCAGTTACAAGTCGCACTGGCAGTGCGGTAAATCATAGACACGTTGATCGTTCGAAAGAGAATGTAGCGGATGATGACTGGGCGGGTGATGTTGAAAAAGCTATAAAGGCAGTGATGACAAGTACGGATAGTGGACATGAATTACATTCAGAAAAAAAAGCAAATGGCGGTGATATAGTGAAAGCTGAAGATGATGATGAAAGAAAGTTTCGACGAAAAAAGAGGAAAAAGAAGCACCGGGAAGATGATGATGATAGGAAGGAAGCCAAGGTAAACTTAAAAAAAAATATGATAAAATGTATTGTCGTTGCATTCCATCAACTAGTTAATGAAGTAACTAATTACTTGACGATGGCCGTCTTCTGGGTTATTGCACCATGTAGTCTGGTAGAAGTTTACATAGTGTCGGTAGGATATGTATGATATTAATATAAAAATACTAATGAACGAGAGAGATAGAGAGAGACGTATATGCATTGATGTAGAACTTCAGAATGTTTGCAAATATAAGAGAGGAAACTTCATTCATATTATGATATGAAATTTGAATAGACTTGGGAAGTATGCAGGAAATGACAGCAGTGGGGCGGCATGGTTTAAGACTGGAATCTGGAAGGTGTCCCATCCATGTGCGCTACATGTCCCGCCCATCTCTTGCCATGGTCGTGCCAAAGAGTCCGTCCTGGTCCGAGGCTTGGTCGTGTTCGTAACAATGCTTTTTTTTATGGTGAAAGGTTGTGAGCCTTACGCCCAACCCCCAACCTGGAGGACCAGGGTATCACTCTTAGTCTAGCACATCACCTTAGACCTGTCTGGCTTGGGTGACCCTACCACGAGCCGAAGCTCCGGCCGGCATAGCCCTAAGGGTCATTTGAGCACGCAAGCCTCCTCACCTGGCAGATTGCCTTCGACAAGGTGGTGATACCTTCGAGAAGGAACACCACTGTATAGGATTATATTTTATTTATTGCTGGTAGAAACATGAGAATGGAGAGGTACAGGTTGAACTTTTCCTGTATGCCAGAAACAAGTTTATTTTAGAACTACTTGTTTGATGTAGTCTATGTAACAAAATATGAGGAAACAAGACATTCTGAGAAGGGCTTAAAGTAGTGCTATGATTTAATGATCCCCGGTTTCACCGGTATGTGATGTAGCAAGCTCCAGTGTGAAGTTGCAAGTTTGTAGTAGTCGGAGTACAGTCCAGTAGGCTAGCAGCAGAATGAATTGTCACTGACTCTTAGAGAGTGTGGCAGTGCGGCTGGCAGAAAATAATGATGTACAATGAATCTGAACTTCTAAAAATTGTTCTTGAAATAATTTATGGGTGTGTTGCCCCCCCCCCCAAACACACACACACACACACACACACATGATTTGTACACATAGTTACCTGATTCAGGGAACTATGCACATGAAGTTCTTGTATACAGTTTCCTCTTGCCTTGCCAACAGACAACACCTTTGTCTCCTTGCACCTCACATGTTATGTCCGTTTTTTTGAATTTCATTGTCTTTGAGTGAAATACCTCTTTATTATGATGAACATTGCTGCAAGTCTTTATTTTCCTGCTGTGTAGATTAAAAAAAGAGTAAAGGTGAACAACCTATGTCTAGTGCCCTCCACTTTTCTTGTTGGTGTTG